TTATATTCTTTTTTTTTTTTTTTGAGACAGAATTTCCCTCCGCAGTGGCTCATGCCTGTAATCCCAGCATTTTGGGAGGCTGGGGCAGGCGGATCACTTGAGGTCGGGAATTTGACACCATCTCTACTAAAAATACAAAACTTAGCTGGGCTTAGTGGTGCATGCCTATAGTCCCAGCTACTCGGGAGGCTGAGGCAGGAGAGTCACTTGAACCTGGAAGTCAGAAGTTGCAGGGAGCCAAGATCTCTCCATTGCACTCCCCACCAGCCTGGGTGACGGAGCTAGACTCCGTCTCAAAAAAAGGAAAAAAAAAAGGCAATCAGGGACCACTCCCTCTGTCTCCCAGGCTGGAGTGCAGTGGTGCAGTCATGGCTCACTGCAGCCTCAGCCTCTGGGCTCAGATGATCCTCCTACTTTGGCTTCCTGAATAGCTGGGACTACAGGTGTGTGCCACCACATCTGGCTAATTTTTTATTTTTTGTAAAGATGGGGTTTTGCCATGTTGCCCAGGCTCCTGATAGCTTTTGTTAATAAGGTGACTTATGGTGGGTCCCTAGACAGCTTCAGCTAACAAGATGACTCCACATGAGGCAGGCCATGCCAGAAAGGCCAAGCATGTGTTTAGAGGGTTGGGGCTTTAGTCCACATGATATCAGCCCAACTTCTCAACCTTCAGGGAGGGGAAGGGGCTGGAGATCGAGTTGAACTACATGATTAATGATTCAATCAATCGTGTCTATGTCATGAAACCCCAATAAAAACTCTGGACTCCAAAGTCCTGGTTGGTAGGCTGGGCACAGCGTCTCTTGCCTGTAATCCCAACACTTTGGGAGGTTGAGGCAGATGGATCACTTGAGGCCAGGAGTTTGAGACCAGCTTGGCCAACATGGTAAAAAAACAAATAAGCCGGGCGTGGTGGCTCAAGCCTGTAATCCCAGCACTTTGGGAGGCCGAGGCGGGTGGATCACAAGGTCAAGAGATCGAGACCATCCTGGTCAATATGGTGAAACCCCGTCTCTACTAAAAATATAAAACATTAGCTGGGCATGGTGGCGCATGCCTGTAATCCCAGCTACTCAGGAGGCTGAGGCAGGAGAATTGCCTGAACCCAGGAGGCGGAGGTTGTGGTGAGCAGGGATCATGCCATTGCAGTCCAGCCTGGGTAACAAGAGTGAAACTCCATCTCAAAAAAAAACAAAAAACAAACAAAAAAAAAAACCCTGTCTCTACTAAAAATGCCAAAAATTAGCGGGGCATGGCGGTACATGCCTGTAATCCCAGCTACTCAGGAGGCTAAGACATGAGAACTGGTTGAACCTGGAAGGCAGAGGTGGCAGTGATTTGAGATTGCACCACTGCACTCCAGCCTGGGCTGGAGTGAGCCCAGAGTGAGACCCTGTGTCAACAAACAAACAAATAAAACAAAAAAATACCAAGTTCTGGTTGGTGAACACATTGATGAGCCAGGAGGGGAAATATCCTGGTCCATGGGGAAAGGACACAGAAGCTCTGCATTCAGGCCCCTCTAGACCTTGCCCCATGTGGCTCTTCATTTGGCTGACCCTGGCTTGTATTCTTATCATAAAGCTATATCCCTAAGTATAATCATAATCTTTTCTGAGTCCTGTGAGTTGTTCTAGCAAATTATCAAATCTGAAAGGGTTATGGGAACCCCTAAATTTATAGTCACTTGGTTAGAAGTGCAGGTGGCCTGGAGACCCCTGAACTTGTGGCTGGTGTCAGAGGTAAGGCCTCACTCAGGACTGTGCCCTGAACCTAGGTGTGGATTCAGCACTAACTCCCGATGATTAGTGCCAGGATTAAACTGCAGTATTGCAGTTCGTATCAGAAAATGTGGATTTACTAGAATGACCCTGACTCACTGAAACATGTGGGTTGGGAAAAGAAAAGACGAAAGGGCAGAGGATGAGAAATCTTTCATTCTTGAGTGGCTACAGGGTCACCCACAGTGTGAAGCGCAGTCATACTGCAATCAGTTATTGGAGGTCAAAGTGACCAATGGAACTTAGAGATGATTGATATCTAACTTTTGGGGAGTTAACCCATGTGCATAAGGAAATGTATACTACTTAGAAGAAAAGCAAATATACAATCCCTATAGATTTTTATCTCTAATAGCCAAACTGAAAGTAAAAGATGGGCCAGGCTTACATTCTGGTCAGTGGAATTACAACCTCTCGTCCTGCACTGTGGTACCAACAGCACCTGCTGAAGCCCTGATGGGCACTACAATGAGATTGAGAGAATATAAAAATGCTGCTGGGCACGGTGGCTCACGCCTGTAATCCCAGCACTTTGGGAGGCCAAGGTCGGAGGATTACTTGAGGTCGGGAGTTTGACACCAGCCTGACCAACATGGAGAAACTCCATCTCGACTAAAAATACAAAAATTAGCCGGACATGGTGGTGTGTGCCTAGGCTGAGGCAGGGGAATCACTTGAACCCTGGAGGCAGAAGTTGCAGTGAGCCAAGATCTCACCATTGCATTCCAGCCTGGGCAATGGAGCTAGACTCTGTCTAAAAAAAAAAAAAAAAAAAAAAAAAGCAATCGAAGACCACTATGAATAACAAAGACACTTCTATGACTTGAGAGATTCCAAGAACTTAGAGGTTACCTTGGAGGAACCCAAGACAAAGACAAAACAAATTCTTCATTATACAAGAAGTGGAGAAGTGGCTTGTGCATGAAACGACTGACTCAGCAGGACTGCCACGTTCAAACCCTGCACGTTGCAGAGAAAGTTCTGGCCTGTGACCAGCCCTGAGAGATAAGATTTAAATTACTGAAATATGCTGCCTGGTAAGTCTTTGTTTTTCTGGGGCCTTGGGCCATGCCAGATATTTGATGCTAATAATGTGATTTGTGACAGGGGCCTTTGGCCACCCAGTATCAGTTTGATCTCTGGAGACCTGGAGAGTGAGTAACTAAGGTCAGCCACATGGGTAGTCCATGCTTCCATCACTGACCTCTAATAAAAACACTGGACACCAACACTCAGGTCAGCTTCCTTGATTGGCAGTACTTCATGCGTGCTGTCACACATCACTGCTGGAAAAACCAAGTGCTGTCCATGTAAATCCACTGGGAGAGGAAAAACTGGAAGATTGAGCTGATTTTCTCCTGGACTGGGCCCTACAGTATTTTACTTGATGGCTTTAATATGTACCCTTTCACTGTAAGAAACCATAATCATGCTATAACCATTTGGGAAGTATTAGTAAGTCACTGGCCTGAGACTGGTCTTAGGGAACACCAATAAAGTCATCTTCTCCTACATTTGGCAAACAGCCGAATGCTTAAAAACACACTGGAGCACCCAGTCTCTCTGAAGTCCTCATTACAATTGCTTAGGACAAAAGCTATTAATGATCCCAGGCACACTTTTCCCTTTATAATCCACAGTTGTCATGGGCAAGCACTGTCACCCCTCCCTGTAACACACACCCCTGCTCTCCGTCCCTAGTCCTGGCACTGGAGCCCAAGCCCAGAGCTGACCGTCTTGCCTGGAGCCCCGCTCTCCCTGGACCTGTTCCCACTCTGCCCCAGTCACACAGGCCGCCTTTCCCATCCCTGAACAGCGCCTCAGGGCCTCTGCACGGCCGTTTCCGTGCCTGGACTGTCCTCTCCAAGATCAGCTCAGCGATGGTTTCTGCTGCAATTCTGCTCACACGTCACCTCCTCAGAGACACCTTTCCTCCCTATCTTCTCTTTTTTTTTCTTTTTTCATGCACCCCCCAAAACATTTTAAGTTTTTTTTTTGAGGGGGATGGAGCCTCACTCTTGTCATTCAGGCTAGAGTGCAGTGGCACAATCTCGGCTCACTGCAACCTCCGTCTCCCGGGTGCAGGTGATTCTCCTGCCCCAGTCTCCCAAGTACCTGGGACTACAGGCATGTGCCACCACATTTGGCTAATGTTTTATTTTTAGTAGAGATGGGGCTTCACCATATTGGTCTCGAACTCCTGACCTCAGGTGGTCTGCCTGCCTCGGCCTCCCAAAGTATTGGTATTACACGTGTGAGCCACTGCGCCCGGCCCTCCCTATCTTCACTAATACACCCTCCGCTCACCCGCACCAGTGGGTCCCTAACTTTGCTGTACTGTGCTTCTGTTCCTGTTTTGCTTCTCTTATTACTGTTCTTGCAGGAGCTGGTAAAGTGACTGATGTGGCCACAGCTCCATAAATCCATGTGGAATGAAGGGTGGACATTGCCTGAGTCCAGGAGGCAGGACAGGCTGGCTCATCTCTGTCCCTGGTGGTGAAAACTCAGGCCCAGGAAAGAGCTTTGACCTGCCCTGGGTCACAGAGAGAGTTTTAGGGTCAGGGCTTAAGCTGTGGTTAGGCCCTTAGGCCGCCTCTCATACCCAGGCTAGGAAGCTGGAGCAGAAAGTTTGCTAGAACAGTCCTGAGAAGCCTGCATAGCTTGAGGGGCGGCGTGGAGGAGGAGAGGGAGGGAGGGTGGGCTTCGGTCAGCAGACTCGTGGAGCTCAGGCCAGGCTCAGGCAGCTGCACCTGGTGTCAGGACTGCAGGTCCTGGCCAGACACAGAGGCCGATGCAGGTGGATCACTTGAGGTCAGGAGTTTGAGGCCAGCCTGGCCAACATGGTGAAACCCAATGTCTACTAAAAATATAAAAAAAATTAGCCAGTTGTGGTAGTGCACTCTTGTGATCCCAGCTACTCAGGAGGCAGAGGCAGCAAAATCTCCTGAACCCAGGAAGTCTAGGCTGCAGTGAGTGGAGATCGTACCGCTGCATTCCACCTGGACAACAGAGCAAGACTCTAACAAAAAAGGACCGCAGGTCTAGTGCCCAGCACAGAGCCTGCTACACAGGAGTCCTCATCTTCTTCTCTTCCCTACTCTTTCCTTCCTTTATATTCCCTTTCTTCCCCCTGAAGTGCTGACCCCAGAGCCTGAGATCTCATCCCAGCCTCCCTCTTATTGCCATCCTCCCCCACTGCCCTCCCCACACCCCTACCTCTCACAGGGTGGGGGTAGGGCCTCCTGGGACCTCAGCCCCAGCTCCAGCAGCAGCAGCAGGCCCAGCTCCCAGGTCCTCCCTGGCATGGTGGCGGTGGCTGTGACTATGACTGAGCAAGCCCGGGCACCTTGGGCTTGCTAGGCACAGCCTGGCTCGCCTGCCTGTCCAAGTTGGCCAAAGTCCAGCCTTCAAGGTGTGGCCAACTGAGGGGACGTGCTTGGTCTGTGTGTGGCCCGCTCGCCCCTCCTGCTCCCAGGGCACAGTGGCCATCCCTCCCCCTTCTACTTTGCCTCTATTTCACAGTTCCAGCTGGTGCCGATGGCTCAGGCTCTTCCCTCAGAGCATGGGGGTGGGGGTGGGGAACGAGCACCTGAGGGCCAGAGACACAGTCAAGGCCACATACCTGTAACTTTGGGTGGCCCCAAGATCGCCAACCTCAAAGAGTTACCATTTCCCTTAACATTTCAAATGGAATGGCTCAGGATCCTGTCCCTGGTGTGGGGTGAAATTCAGGGACTCTCTTGGCTGGGCGCAGTGGCTCACGCCTGTAATCCTAGCACTTTGGGAGGCCGAGGTGGGTGGGCCACCTGAGGTCAGGAGTTCAAGACCAGCCTGCCCATCATGGTGAAACCCCGTCTTTTATAAAAATAAAAAATATAAATAAAGAAAAAGAAATTCAAGGACTCTCACTCTATCTACAAGAGATATGGCAGGAGACATAAAACAATGGTTCTATGTCTCCTTCTCAGACAGTAGAACCATTCTGTCTGAGGAGGAGTAAGGGAGACCCACCATAGCATGACATTTGTAATGAGTCTTGACGGTTGTGTAGGAGTTTGCCAAGGGAATGGACTGGAGACCACTACAATGTATGCGAACATACAAGAAGAACAGCAGGCTCCTCGGCCTAGCTGCACAGAACTTGGTGTTCGTGCAGGGAAGGGTTTTGAGATAGGCTGGAGGAACATGTTGGCACCGGTCTGGAAATGGTCTTTGCCAAGCCAAGGAATGTAGTTCCCTGAGGTGGAACCAGCAGAGAAGTCTGTGAGCTTAAGACGCAGATTCAGGGCCACGCATGGTGGCTCACACCTGTAATCCCAGCATTTTGGGAAGCCGAGGTGGGTGAATCACGAGGAGGTCAGGAGTTTGAGACCAGCCTGGCCAAGCTGATAAAACCGCATCTCTACTAAAAGTGCAAAAATTAGCCAGCAGAGTGGACCTCTCCTGAAGGACTTACGCTTCCTGTTAAGGATGTCAGCTGTGGCACCTGAGCAGTGTTTGCCACTGTTAAAAAAAAATCCTTAGACAAATTAAATTTAATGTTTATTCAAGCAAAGAAATGACTCATGAATCAGGCACCACTCTGACCCAGTAAAGGTTCACATAGCTCTACCCGGTAATTTGGGCAGCTGGCATTGGTTTTGTATTTGTTTTGTTTTTTGAGGCGGGGTCTTGCTCTGACACCCAGGCTGGAGTGCAGTGGGTCTGCCATAGCTCACTGCAGCCTTGATCTCTCAGGTTCAAGTGATTCTCCCACCTCAGCCTCCTGAGTAGCTGGGATCACAGGCACAAACCACCATGCCCAACTAATTTTTTTTTTTTTTTTTGAGACGGAGTTTCACCCTTGTTACCCAGGCTGGAGTGCAATGGCTTGATCTCGGCTCACTGCAACCTCCGCCTCCTGGGTTCAGGCAGTTCTCCTGCCTCAACCTCCCGAGTAGCTGGGATTACAGGCACTGCCACCATGCCCAGCTAATGTTTTGTATTTTTAGTAGAGACGGGGTTTCACCATGTTGACCAGGATGGTCTCGACCTCTTGACCTCGTGATCCACCCACCTCGGCCTCCCAAAGTGCTGGGATTACAGGCTTGAACGACCGCGCCCAGCTTAAGTTACTAATTCTTTCATAAAAGCAAAGAACTAATTTTTTAATTAAAAACCATTTCTTTTTTTTTGGTAGAGATTGGGTCTCCCTATGTTGCCCAGGCTGATCTAAAACTCTTGAGCTCAAGCAATCCTCCTGCCTCACCCTCCCAAAGTGTTGGGATTACAGACATAAGCCACCATGCCTGGTCAACAATTTTTAAGTGTACAATTCAATTTACTTTATATTATATTCAAATGCTGTGCAACCACACTTGCATTCCTTGGATAAATCTCACTTGGTCATGATGTCTCATCCTTTTAATCAACTGTTGGGTTTTGTATGCAGGTATTTTTTCGATAAATTTTGCATCAATATGTATAGAGGATATTGGACTGTAATTTTCTTTTCTAGTGATTTTCTTTTTTCTTTTTTGATACACAGTCTTGTTCCGTCATCCAGGCTGGAGTACAGTGGCATGAACACAGCTCACTGCAACCTCGACCTCCTGGGGTTCAAGTGGTCTTATAGTCTCAACCTTCTGAGTAGACAGGACTACAGGTGTATGCCACCAAGCCTGGCTCATTTTTAAATTTTTTTGCAGATACGACATATGACTGTGTTGCCCAGGCTGGTCTTGAACTCCTGGCCTCAAGTGATCCTTCCACCTTGGCCTCCCAAAGTATTCCTCCCCAAGTGTGAGCCACCACGTCCAGCCCTCTTGTGATGTCTTTATCTGGCTTTGATATCAGGGTAATGCTAGCCTGGTATCATGAGTTAGGAAGCATGCCCCCTCTTCTATCTGTGGAAGTGTTTGAGAAGGATTAATGCTAGTTCTTCTTTAAAGGTTTGGTAGAATTTACCAATGAAGCCATCTGGTCCTGGACCATATTAGGCAGGCACAATACATATATGAGGGGTTGGGGGAGAGTGAGAGAGTTTGAGAGGTGGCTGGCAAGTCCAAAATCTCTAGGATAGGCTGGCAGCCTGGAGAAACAGGAATGAAGCTGCAGTTCAAGTCTGAAGGCAGTGTGCTGGTGGAATTCACTCTTCTTCTGGGGAGGTCAGTCTTTTTCAAATTAAAGTATTCAACCGATTGGATAAGGCCCATCCACGTTAGGGAGGGTAATCTGCTTTACTCGAAGTCTACAGATTTAAATGTTAATTTCATCTAAAAAATACCTTCATAGAAACATCTAGAATAATGCTTGACCAATTACCTGGATACATTTGCCAGCCATGTTGACACATAAAATTAAACTTTTTTTTTGGGGGGGATGAAGTATCGCTCTGTCACTCAGGCTTGAGTGCAGTGGCACGATCTTGGCTCACTGCAACCTCCACCTTCTGGGTTCAAATTATTCTTCTGCCTCAGCCTCCCGAGTAGCTGGGATTACAGGAGCATGCCTCTTGTAGAGCATGCCTCTTGTAAAATTAGCTGCCACATCTGGCTAATTTTTTGTATTTTAGTAGAGATGGGGTTTCACCATGTTGTCCAGGGTGGTCTTGAACTCCTGAGCTCAAGCAATCTGCCCACCACAGGCATGAGTCACCACACCCAGCCAATGTTCTTTAAAAAACACACACAACTTTATAGTGATTGTACTAATTTACATTCCTACCAACAGTATACGAGGGTTCTTTTTCTCACCAGCATTTGTTATTGCCTGTCGTTTGGATCATTTTAACTGGAGTGAGATAATCTCTCATTGTAGTTTTGATTTGCATTTCTCTGATGATCAGTGATATTGCGCACTTTTTCATGTACCTGTGTGCCATTTGTGTGTCTTCTTTTGAGCATTGTCTATAGTGATTCAGATCTTCTGCCCATTATGCAGACTGGCTTTGTTCTGGGGAAACTCCTATGTTGCCCAGGCTGGTCTCAACTCCTGGGCTCAATCAGTCCTCCCGCCTTGGCCTCCCAAAGTGCTGGGATTATAGGTGTGAGCCACCATGCCTGGCCAGTAGTTCTTTTTTATGCATTTTATGCATTTACAACTAAGTCTACTCAAATAACACTACATTTCATGGGTAGTGCAAATACCTTATGATAACAAAGTAGTCTTCACTTCTCCCTCCTGTTCCTTGTATCTTTGCTGTCCTCCAGTTCCCTCATCCATAAACTACAATTGGCTGGGTCACAGTGGCTCATGCCTATAATGTCAGCACTTTGGGAGGCCGAGGTGGGAGGATCATGAGGTCAGGAGTTTGAGACCAACCTGACCAAAATGATGAAATACCATCTCTACTAAAAATACAAAAATAAAAAATAAAAAAATAGCCAACTGTGATGGTGCACACTTGTAATCCCAGCTATTCAGGAGGCTGAGGCAGGAGAATCTCTTGAACTCGGGAGGTGGAGGTTGCAGTGAGCCGAGATCATGCCACTGCACCCCAGCCTGGCCGCCAGAGCGAGACTCTGTCTCAAAAACAAAAACAAACAAACAAAAAAATCCCATAAACTATAATCCTTGAATACACAGTTGCTATTACAGATTGAGCACCCCAAATCTGATAACCCAAAATCTGAAAATGCTCCAAAGTCTAAAACTTTTTGAATACAGCCATAATGATCAAAGAACTGCTCACTGAAGCATTTCAGATTTTAGATGATCAGATTTGGAATTCTCAACCAGTAAGTATGTTGCAAATATTTCAAAATTCAAAAAAAATCCAAAATCCAAAATGTTTCTGGTATTTTGGATAAGGGATACTCACTCTGTTTTATTTTGAACAAACCATTATCTATTAGATTAACTAAACATAAGAAAAGTAAAATCTTTTTTTTTTTTGAGACGGAATTTTGCTCTTGTTGCCCGGGCTGGAGTCCAATGGCGTGATCTCAGCTCACTGCAACCTCTGCCCCCTGGGTTCTAGCAATTCTCCTGCCTCAGCCTCCCAAGTAGCTGGGATTACAGGTATATGCCACCACGCCCAGCTAATTTTATATTTTTAATAGAGATGGAGTTTCTCCATATTGGTTAGGCTTGTCTCAAACTCCAGACCTCTGGTGATCCACCCGCCTCAGCTTCCCAAAATGCTGGGATTACAGGCATGAGCCACCATGCATAGCTGGCCACTTATTCCTTCTTTCATGCTCTTCCTTGTTTATGTAGTTCAAAGTTTCTAACTTATATCATTATGTTCTCTGAAAAAGTTTTTTTTTTTTTTTTAATAAAGACGGGGTTTCACCATGTTGGTCAGGCTGGTCTTGAACTCCCGACCTCAGGTGATTAGCCTGCTTTGGCCTCCAAAGAGCTTGGATTACAAGCGTGAGCCACCACGCCTGGCCAAGTTTTTTTTTTAAATTATTTTTGCAAGACAGATTCTCTCAATTTTTGTTGTCTTGTGAAAGTTCTCATATCTACATTACTTTTTATTTTATTATTTTATTTTTATTTTTTATTTTGAGACAGAGTCTTGCTCTGTTGCCCAGGCTGGAGTGCAGTGGTGCCATCTCGGCTCATTGCAACCTCTGCCTCTCAGGTTCCAGTGATCCTCCAGCCTTAGCCTCCCAAGTAGCTGAGACCACAGGTGCATGCCACCATTAACGTTTATATTTTTTTGTAGAGACAAGGTTTCACCATGTTGCCCAGGCTGATCTCAAACTCCTGAGCTCAAAGCAATCTGCCTGCCTCGGCCTCCCAAAGTGCTGGGATTACAGACAAGAGCCACTGTGCAGGCTTCTCCATCACTTTTGAAGAATGCTTTTGCAGGATACAGATTCTAGGGATTCTAGGTTAGTGGAGTTTTTTTCTCTGTCAATGCTTTAAATATTTCACATGGCTCGCCTCTTCCTTTGCATGGTTTCTAAGGCGTCTGATGTCATTTTTATCCTTGGTCCTCTCTCGGTAAGGTATTTTTACTCCTCTGGCCTCTTTCAAGACTTTTTATCTTTGAATTTCTGCAATTTGAATAAAATATGCCTAGGTGCTGATTTTTTTTTTCTTTTTGGGGGGCATCTGTCTTCCTCAGAATTTTCTGAGCTTCCCAGATCTGTGGTTTGGTGTCTGACATAAATTTGGGGAAATTCTTAGTCATTATTGTTTCAAATATCTCTTCAGTTCCCTCTTTCTTCTTCTGTAATCCCATGAATGCATATGTGATGACTTTTGCCATTGTTCGACAGTTTTTGGATATTCTGTTCTGTCTGTTTCCCATTTTTTCTCTCTTTGCTTTGGAGTTTTGGAAGTTTCTATTTGACATATCCTCAAGTTCATGGATTCTTTCCTCAGCTGTGTCCGGTCTACTAAAGAGCTGGTCAAAGGCATTTCGTTAGTGTTTTTTTCTCATTTCATTTCCTCCTTTTTTTTTTTCTTAGAATTTTCATTGCTCTGTTTAAATTACCTATCTATTCTTGCATGTTGTCTACTTTTTCCATGAGCGACCTTGGCATGTTGGTCAAACTTCCGGCCTGATAATTCCAACACCCCTGCTATAGTTGAATCTGGTTCTGATACTTGCTCTGTCTCTTCAAATGGTATTTCACTGCCTTTTCTTATGAATTCTAGTTTTCTCTTGAAACCAGACCAATACTGGGTAAAAGAAACCCAGTGTGGAGGAGTCTACTCTCGTGAGTTGTGACCATCTGTATCTGCCTCTCTGTGCCTGTGACCGTCTGTATCTGCCTGTCTGTGCCTGTGACCGTCTGTATCTGCCTGTCTGTGCCCGTGACCGTCTGCATCTGCCTGTCTGTGCCTGGGTCTCCAGTTTTGGAGGCAGCAGTTTGCTCTGTGACCTTAATTTTCTGACAGACCTAAGAAGAGTTGTTGGTTTTGATTATTTGCCTTTTTACCTGTTAAGATGGAATGACAATTTCCACACTCTTTACATGCTAGGCCAGAAACAAGAAACCCCCATTTAGTTCTTTTTTTTTTTCTTTTGAGATAGAGTCTTGCTCTGTTGCCCAGGCTGGAGAGCAATGGTGAGATTTCAGCTCACGGCTACCTCTGCCTCCTGGATTCAAGCGATTCTCCTGCCTCAGCCTCCCTAGGAACTGGGATTACAGGCATGCACCACCACCCCGGATGACTTTTGTATGTTTAGTAGAGACAGGGTTTCGCTGTGTTGGCCAGGCTGGTCTCAAACTCCTGACTTCAGGAGATCCTCCCACCTCGGCCTCCCAAAACGTAGGGATTACAGCATAAGCCACTGTGCCCAGCCGGTTCTTTTTGGATTATCTTTTTCTTTTATTTTCTAGAGACTGGGTTTTGCTCTGTCACCCATGCAGGGGTGCAGTGGCTCAATCACAGCTCATTGCAACTTTGAGCTCCTGGGCTCAAACAATCCCTCCACCTTGTCCTCCCATGTGCCATAATGCGTAGATAATTAAAAAAAAATTTTTTTCTTTTGTGGAGACAGAGTCTCACTATGTTGCCCAGGCTGGCTCTGAAATCATGTCCTCAAGTGATCCTCCTGCCTTGGCCTCTCAAAGCACTGGATTACAGGTGTGAACCACCACACCCAGCCTTTCCTTAGTTTTTATTATTTTATTATCATTTTTGAGACAAGGTCTTGCTCTGTTCCCAGGCTGGAATGCAGTGGCACAATTACAGTCACTGCAGCCTCCGCCTCCTGAAGTTAAGCAATCTTCTCACCTCAGCATCCCGAGTAGCTGGGACTACAGGTGTGCACCACCACACCTGGCTGATTTTTTATTTTTGTAGAGATGGGGTCTCACTATGTTGCCCTGGCTGGTTTTGGACTCCTGAGCTCAAGTGATCCTCCCGCCTCAGCCTCCCAAATGTTGGGATCACAGGGGTGAGCCACTGCACCTCCTGGTCCTTTTTAATATTTTCCATCTGTTTATTGCTGTTCTTTCTTTAGTACATAGTGGTCACTCTTACAGACAATTTCTTTTGCCTCGTGTGTGTGTGTGTGTGTGTGTGTGTGTGTGTGTGTGTGTGATATTTTCCTGCTTTTTGTGTGTGTCTCATAATTTTTTGTAGGAAAACAAACGTTTTGGATAGCATATTGTAGCAATGCTGGATACTGGCTGCCTCACCCCACTCTACCCAGAGTGTGCTATTATTGTTCACTTGTGTGTTTGGGGAGTGAATGCTGAATTATGTTCCTGGTCTATTTCCTGCCTTCTGTGTTAAGGCCTTGAGGTTGCTCCTCGGGGAGACACAGCTTTGGGGATGGCTACAGCCACTCTGGGGTGACAGTGGTCTTGGCAGGGCTCCCTTTCTCTCTGTCCCTGAGCACACCCAGCCCTTAAACTCCACTGATTGCCAGCTGACTTTACAATTGTTTTAATGATGCCCTTGGGGATAAACAGATCTAGAGACAATCATTCAAATTCAAACTCCTTTGGAGGAATAATATCAGGGGCAGAAATATACTATACATATTTATTTGAACCCCGCTTCCCCTGCTCTCCTTCCCAGCACTGAGCCCTTGGTTGCCTGGGCCCAGGCTGGGGGTTTTCAGTATTTGTAAGCATTTCAGCAGAACAATAAAGCCTTTGGAATACAGAAATATGTGGAAGGTGGGAGGTGTGGGGAATGGCACTGGGGCACCTGGGGCAGGAGGGCTAGGTCTTCCCCCAGAGCAGAATTGCCACCCTATTCGGGTTCCAGGAGGGAGCTAGGCCCCAACCCATGACCTCCAGGTCGTGACCCTGTCCCCCACTTCACTCTGATCGGAGGACAGGCTGGGAGGCAGGAGGGCATGAGGAGGCAGGAAAAGGCAGGAACTGGTACAGAGATTTAATGGGGCAGGACGTGGGGTCAGGTGAGGAGAGCTGTCACCGTGGCAGGAGGCTGAGCAGGAGGCTGGGCAAAAGGGCAACTGCCAGGCAGTGGGGCTCCAGGAAAGCCAGCTGGGCCCCTGAGGTCAGCCGGTCACCGTAGTGGTCCAGCAGCAACAGGACCATGCCATTGGTCCAGCCAAAGCCCTCCTGGGAAAGGCAGGGCAGTGGGGCCAAGCCTCTGGGAAAGCCCCAAACCCTTGGTGGGGGCTGTGGGCTCTCTCCCCAGGGACACTGGCCCTGCCTAGCCCCAGTGGCACCAGGGAGCACCAGTCAGCTCCTCCCCTGGCGCATGTGCAGGTGAGCACACTGGAGCCTGGGGCCGGGGGCATGGGCAGCAGAGCCCAGGAGTTCCCTGTAGGGCGTTGGCCAGCCCACCCCAAGCCTGCTCACCTGAACTTCATACTCCCCTCCCCCACCGGCTGTCCACCGTTGCTGATGTCATACTGGGGACAAGAGAATGGTCTGTAGGCCAGGCACTCTCCCCACCACCCCAGTCCCAGGGACAATAAACCAGAGCCCCTGGGGAGAGGCTGCTCTGCCTGCCCAGCAGCCCCTGCGGTGCCCAGGAGTGGCCACTGGGTGCCGCCACCATCCCGGCTGTTCTGGCCCTGGGCCCTGCCAAGGCTGACCTTCCCACCTCACCCCAAGGACCTCCTGGGGGACGCAGGGAAGGCTTGCACCAGCTCATCTTCTCCCACATGACTGACTTTTGCAAATAGACATCAAAGTTGGTTCGGATCCAATTCTGGGACATATTGGTAGATCAGGATCCGGCTGTCCTAGAAGGTTCCGGACATTCCCGTGACTGTGGGTGGGGCTGGACTAGGAGCAGGATGCTGGGCCCCGTGGGAAACCAGATGTCCCCTTCCTGACCCTTCTCTTCTCGGCTCATAGCTGCCCCCCAGTGGCTCTGGCGGGACCCGCAGGCTGGGACAAGAGGCACAACTAGAGGAAGCAGCCTCCCCTGCAGGTCCTGCTCAGGGTCGGGAGGGGGCGGTGCTGCCTGCAGTGGGTCAGAGCCACCTGCTGTGCCCTCACCTCCAGGTATTTCAGAGCCTTGTCCGCCATTCCAGGGTCAGAGAAACACCCGGCCCAGAGTGGAGTGAGGTTGGATGGGTAAAACTCCCCGTTCTTCTTCTTGTTCTCAAGGTCGTAGTCGAACCAGGCACCCGCCTCCTCATCCCACAGGACCGCGTTCAGGGCGGCCAAGCGTTGTGCCCGCAGGGCTCTGTACTTCATGGCCTGGGATTTGTTCCCTGGCGCAGCGCTGCCTTTGGACCCTACTGGAGCCCTCTAGAAAGAACTTCGCAGGTGAGAAGGGCAGCATCTACTTCTAATGCCTCACTTCAGGTTCCCCAGCCTTCCCAAGAAACCCCAGTCTGTTCTGCCTCCTCCGGGCTGCCCAGCACTGCCTTTGGCACCAGCGGGTAGATGTTCGCTGCCTGCTGGGCTCTCTGCTTCCCTGAGCTCCTGGGGCAGGCCTCTGTCTCAGGAGGAATCAGTGCTACTGCTTCAAGGGCTGGGCCCTGTGCTCAGAGCCGTCCTGAGCTACTTTACTCATCCACATCCCCTCACCTGGTGAAAGGGTTTGGTTTTTTTTTTTTAAGATGGGGTTTCACCATGTTGGTCAGGCTGGTCTTGAACTCCCGACCTCAGGTGATCTGCCCGCCTCGGCCTCCCAGAGTGCTGGGATTACAGGCGTGAGCCACCACGCCCGGCCAGGGTTTGGTGTTTTATTCCCACCTGGTTCAGAGGATGGGAGTGATGGGCCAATCCTCTGGGCCTGGCTGGGTGATGACAGCAGGGATGGGGAGTGGAGGGGAAGTGGGGGGCTGGCATCCCCCTCACCCACCCATCCCCCGCTGGGACATCATAATGGCCACTGCTTGGTGGACACCTGCCCAGTGCCTGGCTGAGTGGTCGGGGCTTCTACGCAGCACCAAGTTGAGCCAGGAATCCTGAGGCCAGCAGGTGAGAGATGAGGACCGCAAGGCTCCCAGCGGCCAGGCCTTGTTCATATGGCTGAGCAGCAGTAGAGCCAGAGCTCAGCCCGATTGCCTGCAGCTACCAGGGCCTCTGACGTGTAGTGGGCTGGGGTGCTGCAGGATCCAGGAGTGTTGAGGAATCAAGGCTGGCAGGGTGTCGTGAGCAGGTCGGGTCACCTGACGTGGTACTCCCTGGGATGGGACAAGGCTTGGGGCATTTTTGTATGCGTGTGTAGATGTTTTCGTGGGGGAGCGGGATAGTGATAATCATGGCTTAGAGAAGGACAAGGGTCTCTCTAGACATTTGGCAGCCAGCCTAAGGCTTGGCAAGGACACTTGGCCACACAGCCTCTCTGAAGTCCTCATTACAGACACAAGACTTCAGGACAAAAGCTATTAATGATCCCAGGCACACTTTTTCCCTTTATAATCCACAGTTGTCATGGGCAAGCACCGTCACCCCTCCCTGTAACACACACCCCTGCTCTCCGTCCCTAGTCCTGGCACTGGAGCCCAAGCCCAGAGCTGACCCTCTTGCCTGGAGCCCCGCTCTCCCTGGACCTGTTCCCACTCTGCCCCAGTCACACAGGCCGCCTTTCCCATCCCTGAACAGCGCCTCAGGGCCTCTGCACGGCTGTTTCCGTGCCTGGACTGTCCTCTCCAAGATCAGCTCAGCGATGGTTTCTGCTGCAATTCTGCTCACATGTCACCTCCTCAGAGGCACCTTTCCTCCCCACCCTCTCTAATACACCCTCCGCTCACCCACACCAGCGGGTCCCTAACTTTGCTGTACTGTGCTTCTGTTCCTGTTTTGCTTCTCTTATTACTGTTCTTGCAGGAGCTGGTAAAGTGACTGATGTGGCCCCAGCTCCGTAAATCCATGTGGAATGAAGGGTGGACATTGCCTCAGTCCAGGAGGCAGGACAGCCTGGCTCATCTCTGTCCCTGGTGGTGAAATCTCAGGCCCAGGAAAGAGCTTTGACCTGCCCTGGGTCACAAAGAGAGTTTCACGGTCAGGGCTTAAGCCGGGGTACTGTGGTCAGGCCCTTAGGCTGCCTCTGATACCCAGGCTAGGAAGCTGGAGCAGAAAGTTTGCTAGAACAATCCTGAGAAGAGTCCTGCGTAGTCCAAGGGGCAGTGTGGAGGAGGAGAGGGAGGGTGGGCTCTGGCCAGCAGGCTCCTGGAGCTCAGACCAGGCTTAGGCAGCTGCATCTGGTATCAGGACTGCAGGTCCAGTGCCTATTATAGGGCCTACTATGACAGGAAAAGGAGCCTCAAGTTCATTCAGGCCAAGCCCCTCATTCTACAGAGAACCACACAACTGCATGCAGAGGAGATTTGCCTAGAGTTGGTGGGTTGGTTGTGGGGGCAGGCTTAGAAGGCCCTGGCAGTGCATCCCTGCCCTCCTGACATTCCAAGCCCATCTCTGGGCCATCCCTGGACAGCAGCGATCCCAGAGGGTAATAGGACACCAGCCTGCAGTGAGGGGAGATGGAGGAGGAAACTCCCTGAACAAAAGGAGAGGAGAAGCCGGTGGGGAGGACACAGCTAGGGCAGCAGACAGACCGCCAAGGGGCAAGCTTACTCCTTTGCAGCCCGGCCACCAGCCTCTGTGCCTCAGTGCCACCCCCTCCTCCCAGGTCAGGGCCAACCCCTCGACAGGGCCTGGAGCAAGACAAGGCAGGCTGCATTTCCCCCGCCCCTACTCCACTACTCAAACCGCAGCCATCTGTGCATCAAAAACTTTTTTTTTTAACCCTCAGCTGCCTGATGTGCATGGTTGGGGTTTGGGCTGAGTCACCGAGGGCCACCTGCACACATGAGGGAGGGCTCCTGAGCTCCCGCTCTAGGCGTTGCATGTCTCTGCAATTCTGCACATAACAGCAACTTTGCAGAAGGCTGTTTAGGGTGCCTGTGGGCCATGCATCAGCCTGCTGCAGCTGCCTGTGGCTGCCTCTGCCCCCCAGGGCTGCTCGACCTCTGGTTTTCACCTCAACCACTGCTGCTTCCTCTCCCCGTGGGAACAGGGCGTGAGGTAAGGCGGGCCTACCATGCCCAGACAACTAGGCATCTCCCTTGGGGCCAGGAGTTTCTCTGCCACAGCTCAATGTCAGCAAATTCAGATGGAACCCAGTGACCCCAACACAAGTCACATTTCCTTTCTCTCCTCCAGGCTCTGCAGTCCCTGGGGTTTGAAGTATTAGTTGATCTCCAGGAGAGCCTGGGTCCCAGGAGAACCCACCAAAGGCTTGGCTGTACCAGCATAGGCTTTGTGCCCTTGGGCAAGTCCCTCTACCATTCCTCGTTGCCTGTATGTAAATTGAAGGCTTTGCTCTAGATAGTGTGGCAAACTCAAATTCCAGTAACAGGAGTGTGCCAAATATGTTGGGAATAAAGGAGCCAACAGTGCTGGGGCGATGTGAGTGTGGGGGACCTAATCTTGGGGGTGATGGGATGGGCTGAACCGGAAGTGTATTTCTGTGTAAGGGAGGCCGCTGCTGCAGAGGGTGGCTGCTGTGGGGCTGGGGAATCCTGATTTGTTAAAGGACAGTGGAAATTCATATTTCAACTTGCATGATCCTGTTTTTTTTTTTTTTTTTTTTTGAAGTAAAAATTGAAATTAACTAACAGGGTGTTCACCATGGCTGGGCTAAATTTTGTATTTTTAGCAGAGATGGTGTTTCACCATATTGGTCAGGCTGGTCTTGAACCCTTGACCTTGTGATCCGTCCTCCTCGGCCTCCCAAAGTGCTGGGATTACAGGCATAAGCCACCTCACCCGTCCTGTTTTTTTATTGTTTTTGTTTTTGTTTTTGTTTTGTTTTGTTTTGTTTTGTTTTTGAGACGGAGTTTTGCTGTTGTTGCCCAGGCTGGAGTGCAATGGCACGATATCGGCTCACCGCAACCTCCGCCTCCTGGGTTCAAGCAATTCTCTGGCCTCAGCCTCCCGAGTAGCTGGGACTATAGGCACGCACCATCATGCCCAGCTAATTTTTGTATTTTTAGTAGAGACGAAGTTTCACCTTGTTGACCAGGATGGTCTCGATCTCTTGACCTCGTGATCCACCCGCCTCGGCCTCCCAAAGTGCTGGGATTACAGGTGTGAGCCACCGCGCCTGGCTGTTTTGTTTTTTAACTTGAGACAGAGTCTTGCTTTGTTGGCCAGACTGGAGTGCAGTGCTGTGATCTCGGCTCACTGCAACCTCCAACTCCCGAGTTCAAGCGATTCTGCTGCCTTAGCCTCCCAACTCGCTGGGACTACAGATGCACACACCACCATGCCTGGCTAATTTTTTATATTTTAGTAGAGATGGGGTTTCGCCATGTTAGCCAGGATGGTCTCGATCTCCTGACCTTGTTATCTGCCCTCCTTGGCCTCCCAAAATGCTAGGATTACAGGCGTGAGTCATCAAGCCTGGCACCATGTTTTAAAAATGTCTCAATGTCTCCAATTCTGACTGTAAATCTAAGAGTGATTCCTGTGTGTGTGTGGTTAGGAGGAGTCTGACCTCCACCAGAGGGGCTTTGTGGGCTGGGACTTCATCCACCTGCAGAGCACAGGACCCACCCCTGAATGCAACCTCAGCCTGGAATCCTGACACAATCATTTGGTGCCCCTTTAAATTGATAACACTGTGTACATACTGATATCTGTAATATGTAGAGATCTCTGACAAATCTAAAAGAAAGATAGGGCCGGTCAAGGTGGCTCACACCTGTAATCCCAGCACTTGGGAGGTTGAGGCAGGCGGATCACCTGAGGTCAGGAGTTCAAGACCAGCCTAATATGGTGAAACCCCACCTCTACTAAAAATACAAAAATTAACTGGGCATGGTGGCATGTGCCCGTAGTCCCAGCTACTAAGGAAACTGAGACAGGAGAATTGCTTGAACCTGGAGGTGGAGATGGCAGTGAGCTGAGATCATACCACTGCACTCCAGTCTGGGCGACAGAGTAAGACCCTGTCTCAAAAAATAAATAAATAAAAATAAAAGAAAAATAAGCCGGGCGCGGTGGCTCACACCTGTAATCCAAGCCCTTTGGAGGCCAAGGCGGGCGGATCACCTGAGGTGGGAGTTCAAGACCAGCCTGACCAACATGGTGAAACCCCGTCTTTAAATAAATAAATAAATAAATAAAAAGAAAAGAAAAATAATACTTCATGTTTGGAAGAAATCTTCAGACTAGGCCTGGTGTGGTGGCTCTTTCCTGTAATCCTAGCACTTTGGGAGGCTGAGGCTGAAGGATCACTT